AAATGTGATGGAAATCTGAGTACATGGCTGTTGACCCGAGAAAGGTGGAATGCTTTGTCTGTTTTGCGAGTGAGTTTCTGCCTCAGGCAGGATTTAAGTATTATTGTGCCTTGCTTGTGAGTGATGCCAGTGTACATACAGAATGATGAATCAAGGCTTCATCTTTAGTAATTGAGGAGTCACTCCAGTCTTCTCTATTAAAGAAGGAGCTTAGGCGAATGGCAAAGCTCCTAATTTACTGGTCCATCTCACCTATGGAGTCACAAAATGTAGATACAGATGGAAGGAACAAGATTCCAAATGCAAATACTTGAATTTAGCTTAATCTATAGAATGGTTTAGTTTACCCTTAGAGGTAAGGTGAGAAGCTCAAGCATTTGGTAGTTCTTGGAGTAGAGCCACTGCTCCTCCTAATTGAAAAGATTCAGCTGAAGTGGTTTGGACATAAAATGGTTAGTCACCTTGTTTTTTTTTCCCCAGGTTAATTCCAATTAATTCCATTTGCAGGTTCCGATTAATTCCATACTCAGAAATTTCATCTTCCGAGCAGAAATAATGAAATAGAACACCCCCCAAAGTCAGAGAATGTTGTTTAATTGTACGTCGAGGTTCAATATAGCAGATTGTTGTAATAACAATAGTAGCTGTGGTGGAAACATGTTTATTTTACAACATAAAGTTTTAAGAGTGCATCTGAAAGAAATGTTATGTACAGTTGTATATTTTTCGAGGTAAAAGCAACACACCATGATGTCGTCCTCCAGTCAGCATAGGCATACAAGGGTAGACACGGCACCAACCACTACAGAGCTCCGGACGTCACATGACTCTCAGAGAGTAGACGCCATGTTGGCAGGCAACAAAGGTAAACAAAATGAACAGGATCAGCTTGGATTTTACTCCGTCAGCGTTTACTTCACAGTTTAAAACCAAAGAAATCATTTTATATAGTCAGAAATTAAACAGACTAAACATCTCCGACCCTTACCATGTCCCTGGGATACATTTGAAAAACACCAGACGCTGTCGGAGTGGACCTGGCCAGGGAACACCTTGGGATTTCCACGGAGGAGCTGGCCTAAGTGGCTGGGGAGAGGGAAGTCTGGGCCTCTCGACTTAGGCTACTGCCCCCGTGACCTGACTCCGGATAAGCGGATGAAAATGGATGGATGGATGGACAAATAAGTTTTAACATAGATTTATATGTAAGTAGTTTAAATAGAGTGCTGTGCTGTTTGAATGTATAAATTGAACTCCAAGAGAAATCACTAGTCTGATTATTTTCCGTGAATAAAATAAATATGTCAGGCAGGAGCGTCTCAGGATCTGTCTGAGATCAGTCTCGGTGAGACAGATATTAGCAATCCAAAGTGCTTTTTATGTGTGATCTGATAATTGATCAACCATTGCTTAAAAATTAAATACAGCTTAGCCGATTAATTGCTGTGATCATAAAACACGTAAACGGCAGCACGCAGAACTCACGAGGCAACATTTTACATGATGTTTACTTTTTGCTATGAGTAATAAGACAGAAAAAGCCACACCAAAATAAGTTTAGGAAGCCCACCAAGAATTGTGGTAAAAGCATTTAAAAGAATTACCATATACAGTTGAGGAAACATTGGTTTAAGTACCTGATGTGAAGTGGTCGCTGCATAAGCGAAAACCTTTACTCTCGGGATCCCACAGCTTCATTTTTGCCCGGTCACTAGCGCGTTTCATTGCGATGATCCAACCTTTGCGGCATCCTCGTCTGTTCTGGCATCCTGGGGCACAACAGGAATCTACCATAGTTCCTGTTTGACTGAGTTTTCTGACAATAACAAATAGCCCATCTACGGCCTTCTGCCTGTCAAGATGGCGCCGCTTCGATTTGAACTGTTGCATGCCGGGAGAAGTGACATCAACTCTCGGAGCTCTACTGCCTATGGTGGCCACATTTGTGGGTTCTACTTTTTCTAAACTCCATAGTTAACAAGGTGTTTTAGCTAGGCTTTGGCTCTGTGGCAATCTGGAGCTCAAATGTCAAAACAATGCATTCATAAACTCGTTCATGCATGCCGGAACAAACGCACCCACTTTAACATTCATCAGGCAAAATATGAATGAGTTCACAAATGATTTTCCAATGAACACGTTCGGGCACAACACTTTGGTCTGGTTTCTGTATGGCTTACGTTTGGACTACAATTCACACCATCTGTAGTACGTGTGCTGAGCATCTTTGTATATCTGCTCCCAAAAGAGAACCAAGTGATTAGAAATTTGAGACGATACATTAAAAAACTTACCGGTAATAGCTCAGTGGAACTATCACACACTATCCCTGTCATTAATAATAATATTAAAAACAGCCAGCAAATATAATGCAATAAGGGATTTATTTTAAAAATATACCAGAAATACCTCAATGTTCCACATCTCATTTCCTGTCTGGCTCATGAAAGTTCTTTTAGTTCGCAACAATTTGCATGTGGAATATGGAAAAAAAGACTCCATATGAAACTTTCCTGAGCTCCACATCCAGCTCAGCAATGCATCGCATCCAGTGTGAATGCTCTTAATGGACTCATTGATTTTTGGTCTATGCAGAAGCTGTATGGAAACCAAACCACTACTGTTCCATACTCAGTGTGAACAAGGCTTCGGAGTGTGTCACATCTAATATCGTCTATCAGGAGTGGGGAGCCCTGGTCCTCGAGGGCCGGTATCCTGCACGTCTTTGCTCCAACACTTCTGATTCAGTGGTTGACCCACCTGTTCAGCAGCTCATCGGGCTCTACAGAAGCCCGTTAATCAATTACTGAATGAAATCAGGTGTGATGATTCAGGACTGAAACTAAAATATGCTGGAGAGCAGCCCTCGATGGACCAGGGTTCCTCACTCCTGGTAGGTGGAGACAGCCCTCTAACCTACTCTGGTCCCAGTCTTTCTGATCACTACAAACAACTACTTGATCTTTTGTTTTGGCAGCTCATCAACACATATAAATCATTCTCAATGTAATATCCTCATATCACAAACCTGCATTTAAACACATACTATGGGACATTCCTTTTCACAAGCTGGACTTACCATGACACCTGCCAGCACAACGTCAGATAATGAAATGATGGACCACTTCTATCCAGACAAATTATTCTTACCCTAGTCTGATTATGGTCATAAATTCTATGCCTGATGATGTTGCCTCAAGAAACACATCAGCAGTGCATCTCCTTATACTATACCTTCTAAGGGAAATCAATGGATGTTAATGACAGATCATTAGTTTCTCTGTAAAGAATATTTTCAATGGAAACACCACTCCAAGGAACACAGAGGGATTCATAAGGACGCTACTGACCTCTTTTGTGCAGCTTTTACCCACACATTGCTTTTCTATTATTGTGTAGTTCTGTCTTTGATGCGTTTTTCTTTTGTGTAAATCTAAATCTGCTTGATTTATCACATTAATTATCTCAGAACCAATCTCAACCCATGTACCCTAAATAAAACACTCCTCAAAGCTCGACTCTCAACCAATTCCAGATTTTGTGGTACTTTCTTTGATTTTACTAAAACAGCAATGGTGCAATAAAACTAATGTGCACCCTTGACTTCCAGGCTCTAAATTAGTCATTGCCAGTGTTACATACTATTTCTTCACAAGCTGCTCATGTTCATTATCCATTTATATTCAATAAATTGCTGACTGTTTAAGAAGACTGCACTTAATCAAATCCGATTCCTTTCAACCCACACATCTGCAGGTGCAAAAACCAGAGTATGTGGATGATTCTTACAAACACCACTTCTATGAACTTAATCACATAATCATTACATTAGTCATTTGGGTCATAGAAAAACAATGCATTTAATTGGACAGGATCCTCATTAAAAGAACCATCAAAGTCCAATACTTACAAACTTCGACTTGTTTTGAATGAGATATAAAAAATATATATTATTTTATCCAAAAAAAGAAAAACTCTTGAATTGCAGTGTCATATACAATACAGTAAAATGTGTTTAGATTACTATGATTGGCAGAGGACCATCTTAGAATAGATTGTGACAGCATATATCCAGACAGAATTCCATTTTTATTTGGTAAAAACAGAAGTCGCACCAGAGCCTTTATAAGGGAGATGCTTCAGTTGTGTGCTTTTAGTTCTTTTTCAGTGGTACAGGTATTTTTGTTTGAACACCGACACAGAAGCACATAATGCAGTTAACAATCCACATACCTTTAAAGTCACGATATAATGTCCTTTTGATGGATTCTTCAAGCAAGATCAATTTTACTAATTGGCTAATTTGAATAATTCTTCTGTTTTCAAATACAATGTCATTAAAGTCAATTAAATATACTAAAACATTTATAATTACTTGGCAGAATGAGTGGATAAAGGTTTTAAAAATATCCTTACAGCTCCATTCTACCAGATTATTAAATGTTGTAAATAATAGGTGACTGAGTGGATGCAAAGCATACTTGTGTATTTCTAATGTCAAATTAGGATGTAGCTATTTTGATTGATATCATTAGTGTTGCATGCTTACCGTGTGTAGCGCCAGTGCCCTATACACTGGCACTACCTGGTAGCTGTTGCGGGTGGTCTTCACGTGTGCTTAAAGAAATGCAGCTTGAGTTTATTTCCGATGATGTTTATTATTTTGTCTGGTTCCAAAATGTCCATGATGATCCATTTACAGCAGCTCCTACACCGTGAATACATAATGTGCAATCAACGTAACACACAGTTTGCTTAGTATGTATCCATGTTAGATTGAATCCTTCCAAAAGTGTGTGTGTGTGTGTGTGTGGGTGTGTGTGTGTGTGTGTGTGTATATATATATATATATATATATATATATATATATATATATATATATATATATATATATATATATATATATATATATATATATATATAATTTTATTTAATTTTTTTGTATTCACTCATTTGCTAACCTTTGTTTCCTTTCTCCTCTCCTTTTTCCTTCATTATAGGCTCTGCTCTGCGGCGTCGCTGGCTAGTTTTCCAACTCCTAATTCAGGTGTGGCTGGCAGCAAATCCATCACTCAGTGAGCGCCAGTGCCCTAAGAGTTGTCGCTGTGATGGAAAAATTGTGTATTGTGAGTCAAGCGCCTTTCGTGATGTCCCCAAGAACCTCTCAGGAGGCTGTGAGGGCCTGTCATTACGGTACAACAGTCTTTCCAGTCTGCGTGCAGGCCAGTTTGTTGGCCTCAACCACCTTATCTGGCTCTACTTGGACCATAATTACATTGCCTCTGTGGATGGAATGGCCTTCCAAGGGGTCAGAAGGCTCAAAGAGTTGATTCTAAGTTCTAACAAGATCACATATCTCCACAATACCACATTCCATCCTGTCCCTAACTTGCGTAATCTGGACCTGTCATACAATAAACTGCAAGCCTTGCAACCTGGGCAGTTTCAAGGTTTGCGGAAACTTCTCAGTCTTCACATACGCTCAAACTCTCTAAAAATTGTCCCTATGCGTCTGTTCCAAGACTGCAGAAACCTTGAGTTTCTTGATCTGGGTTACAACCGCCTGCGAAGTATAACTCGGAATGCATTTTCAGGCCTTGTCAAACTCACTGAGCTGCATCTGGAGCACAATCAATTCTCCAAGATAAATTTCTCTCACTTTCCTCGCCTCTACAATTTGCGGGCTCTTTACCTGCAGTGGAATCGCATTCGCTCCATGAGCCAGGGCCTGACCTGGACCTGGGCCTCCATCCAGAAGCTAGATCTGTCTGGGAACGAACTAGCAGAAGTAGATGCTGTTGTGTACCAGTGCTTACCAAACCTGCAAACCCTCAACTTGGACTCCAATAAATTGAGCAATGTTTCACAGGAGGTGGTCGATGCTTGGATTTCGTTGACTATGATTAGTTTAGCTGGAAATGCATGGGACTGTAGCCCTGCCATTTGTCCTCTGGTGGCTTGGCTAAGAAACTTTAGAGGGGCAAAGGAGACCACAATGATCTGTGCCTCACCCAAAAAAGCCCAGGGAGAGAAAGTGATGGATGCTGTTGAAGCATTTGGTGTTTGTCAGTCAAAGCAAGCAACAACGCTCACAATGAGTATTCCCTCAAACCCATCCAGCATCCCTGTGCAGACGGAGCACATTCCATCTATTTTGGCTTTACCAACTAGCCCTGGAAAGAGAGCTGAGGGTTCCCTTAGGGGTCCTACATCATTAGCAGTTACCCCAGCTGTTGCGTTTCCTCCAGAGCAAGACTTGGAGCCTGTGTCCTTCCATAAGATTGTGGCTGGAAGTGTTGCCCTTTTTCTTTCTGTCGCAATGATCCTGTTGGTAATTTATGTGTCCTGGAAGCGCTACCCTAACAGTGTCAAGCAGCTGCAGGAGCACTCGGCAGCAGCACGCAAGCGTCGCAAGAAACCAAGAGAGACAGAGCGCACCCTTAGCTCTCCTCTGCAGGAGTACTATGTGGACTACAAGCCCAACAATTCTGAGGCCATGGATGTGCTCGTCAATGGAACTGGACCATGCACTTACACCATCTCAGGCTCCCGTGAATGCGAGGTATGACTCATACTATTACCACTCATAATGAACAACAACATTTTCTCCACTGAGTCATGCAAAGGTAATTATTTGCACAGTTTTCATAGAAAAAAATGCTACCACTGGATATTATGTAGAGCAAGTTTGGACAAACACAGTGTGCCCATGAATTATTCTAAAGACAGCAGAGCATTGCTTTGTGTGCGACAAGTTGTTTTCAGATGAGTATTTTTATATTCTTTGAAGCTCTAATCTTGTGGAATGCAAATGTTTGTTTTGCCACAAAACTGTACAGAAACACAGATAAATGGGAGTGATTGTGTGTCATACACAGTATAATTTTGAGGTAATGCTGTGTGGTTGGAATCTAGTGCTTCATACATATTGTTTATTTTAATTTAGCTTTTGCTTACTTCCCACACTTTTGGCTTTAGTGTCTTCACTTTTCTGCTTTTTGGTTTTGTGACGTGCAAAAGCCAGATTATTTCTCAATACCAGATGTGAATGCTAATAGCAACCATTTACCCCGAGTGTAGCTTCCTTAGAGCAAATGACTTCACACTTTTCTTGACATATCTATGACTCAAGATAGTCACTGAAACACCACATACCCCCCACCCCAACAGCACTGCCTTTCAGCTTAGCATGCTTCCCTTTTATACTGTCTGGCTGAAGTTACTCACTTGTTTACTCACTTGCTAAATTGCTTCGTCAAGCATAAACCAAATTGAATACTTTCACTGGCCGCTGACACTTTTATTCACACAAGGGTAGGAGAAAAGTGTGTTTGTCACACACAGACAGGAACAGTCTTTGAAAGTGTTTAAAGGAGTGAGAATCCTTTGAAATGTTCAGTCAAGTGGTTTTCTTCAAAACACTATTTACTCAGCATATCAAGACTGGAACACCACATTTTCCCCTATTGCTTTTACTTAACCCTTTCTTGTGTACTACTGGACAGGCTGCTAAAGAGTTTTTAAACCTCTTTTTTTCCATTGCAAAGTTACTCGAGATTTTCAAAGCAACCAAACAGTATGTTGTACTGAAATGCATTTTTGTGTCCTCAGTAAGTCCTGATTGTTCTGAGTCATGGATTTTGTTTTGTTTTTGTTTTTTATTGATTTATTTTTACAATTCCAATGGTTATTTTTCTACCCACACCAAAAGGGTTGGGGTGAGGGTGGAGTGTAAAAATAGAGGTTTGAGAAAAAAAAACATGTTTACGGATTAGTAATGTGATTGGTGTTTATGAGCAGCAGGTACCGTTTTGAGCTTTGTAGTCAGTGTGAAGCTCAGGGGGGAAATCCAAATGTGGAAACAAGTGAATACAACACTAAAGTAAAAGAAGGCTTCAGGGAGCATGTACAATATGTAACATTCTGCCTTATTGTTAAACCTGAATCCAACGTTGTTGTTGTCGTCGTCTTCCTCCGCTTATCCGGGTCCGGGTCGCGGGGGCAGCATCCCAACTAGGGAGCTCCAGACTGTCCTCTCCCCGGCCACCTCCACCAGTGCCTCCGGCAGGACCCCAAGGCGTTCCCGGACCAGATTGGAGATGTAACCTCTCCAACGTGTCCTGGGTCGACCCGGAGGCCTCCTGCCGGCAGGACATGCCCAAAACACCTCGCCAGGACGGCGTCCAGGAGGCATCCTGACCAGATGCCCAAACCACTTCAACTGGCTCCTTTCGATCCGGAGGAGCAGCGGTTCTACTCCGAGTCCCTCCCGAATGTCCGAGCTCCTCACCCTATCTCTAAGGCTGAGCCCGCCCACCCTATGGAGGAAATTCGTTTCGGCCGCTTGTATCCACAATCTCATTCTTTCGGTCATTACCCAAAGCTCATGACCATAGGTGAGGATTAGGACGTAGATCGACCGGTAAATCGAGAGCCTGGCTTTCTGGCTCAGCTCCCTCTTCACCACGACAGATTGGCTCAGCGTCCGCATCACTGCAGATGCTGAACCAATCCGCATATCGATCTCCCGATCCCTCCTACCCTCACTCGTGAACAAGACCCCGAGATACTTAAACTCCTCCACTTGAGGTAGGACCTCTCTCCCGACCCAGAGTTGGCAAGCCACCCTTTTCCGGTCGAGAACCATGGTCTCAGATTTGGAGGTGCTGATCCTCATCCCAGCTGCTTCACACTCGGCCGTGAACCTACCCAGCAAGAGCTGAAGGTCAGAGCTGGATGAAGCTAGGAGGACCACATCATCCGCAAAAAGCAGAGACGAGATTCTCCTGCCACCAAACTCGACACTCCACACCATGGCTTCGCCTAGAAATTCTGTCCATAAAGGTAATGAACAGAACCGGTGACAAAGGGCAGCCCTGGCGGAGTCCAACCCTCACCGGGAACAGGTCCGACTTACTACCGGCTATGCGGACCAAACTCACGCTCCTCTGGTAAAGGGACTGAATGGCCCTTAACAGAATGCCACCCACCCCTTACTCCCAATGGTGTCACCAAAATCCCATTAGACTGTAAACCTGACCTTTAGTTTTCACACTAATGTGGTCTGACTTATATAAATGTGAAGAGAGATAATCTGTGTGTTTTTACATTAGTTTCAGTGGCCTGTGTAATACATTGCAAAACTTTAAATAATAAGCCAAAACTGTTTTTTCTGGGTAAACCCAAGCACATGGTTTGTTACAGTAGAGAAAAAATATCTCTCTGTTGGGTCGATATAGATGTGCCAACAACAAGGACTCAGACTCCGTTGTCGACATTTGTGTTTTTTTTTTTTTTTTTCCTTATTTGTGATTCTAATCATATGGCTAACTGGCACCTATAATGTATATCACTTACAGTAATTTTAACTGGTGCAACGATAAATAACATTCATGAATGCAAGTGGACATTTTTGCTGTTGCTCTTCCCCTATCAGTGCCACTTTATGCTGGTCTTTTTTTTAATTCTATGTTCATTAAAACAGTAAACCAGTATTTGCAACTTTAAAAATAGAATATTACTATTAAATTAATAAAACCAGCTATTTTTATATATATTAGGGATGTGTATAAGTGATACAATACGCATCACAATACAGGAGAGACGAAACAATATATTGCGATACAATCAGCCAGACAATATTAGCGATATTTTTAGTCTCAATTTGTTGTGAGAAATTTCGATAAAAAGTCCAAACTGATACGTAACGTGTTTAACATGAGGTATCTGAACCATAATAAATGGATTTGCATTTCAATGGCGGAAGCAAAACCCATTGAACACTGCTGCCAACTAGCTGTCAGCGTTTGAAGAAAAGAAAATGTACAAATGTTTGCATGTAAATTCTTCCAAGAATTTGATACACAGCTTTTGAATATCAATGTAATACTATGATATATTACAATATCGATATTTTCTTACACCCCTAATAAATATATATTTAACTGAAAATCTATGTATTTAAAAACTGTGTGTCCGTGCGTGCGTGTGTGTGTCTGTGCGTGTGAATGCGTGTGTGTGTGTGTGTGCGTGTGCATGCATGCGTATGTGTGTCTGTGTGTGTATGTGTGTGTGCATGCATGCATGCATGCATGTGTGCGTGCGTGCGTGTGTGTGTGTGCAGATCCAGGTGGCTCAGTGTCCTCCTGGATTTCGGAATGGAAGTTGGAATATTTGTTATCTGAATTGTAAAGCATCATCTGGAAAAAACTCACAAGAGTGAGTTAAAAAAATGTATTAAATAGAAAAATGGAAAAAAGGTGCAAACTGAAAGTAGCAGAAGTTGTGGAAAGGTCATTTTTACATTTTATCTAACATTGTAATTCAGTTAAATATTAATGATATTATTTCACTCAAATAAAACAGGAATTCTCCTTAAACATGTGACACTTATCTTGTTAGCGTAAAGCCTTGTTTTTTGTAATTTAAACATTTGATTCTGCTTGTTAAGATTAACTAAACAACTAAAATGATCCTTGTCTAAAGTGTGAAGCTGTAATGCTTCTTTTATTACTCTGACTTCACCACATCTTGTGTTTTTCTTCAGATTTTCTTGAAAATAAATCTTGTCTGGTCTTATCTGTCCTTCCCTCTCACCTGAACAAAACAGTAAGACAGGAGCCATCTGTCAGCAGTCCACAAAGTCCTGAGTTCATCTGAGAACGTGCTCCAATCTTGTTTCTACATTTTGTTGCTTTTGCATAGACATAAATCACCAGACAGAACATGGCAGCTCTTGCTGCACTCCATCTACGCTGCTGTCTTCCACTCTTCTGGCCTGGGGACATAGTAGCTTATGTCCGTTTATCCCAGAGCAGGAATTTCTATTTCTTCCCGCATCAACCTCACACTTCCTCTCATTTGGATTCTGTGCATTGGTATACCTGAACCCCTTCACATGATTGTGCTCCATCATCTCTTAGGTCTACTCAACGCAGGTTGGAGTTTGTTAGCCTCTTTTACTGAACTGCCTGACAATAATCCAATCCTTATTTTCCTGTGTCACTACAATCAGAGGTGACTTTTCTCTGTCATTTCACAGAGATTTTTTTTACCTCATGTTTGAGGTCATCTTTTTTATTTATTTATGTTATTTTTTATTTTTTCAATTTTTGTCTTATTGTCACCTTTTTCTATTACATCAACTGACAACACTACACAATAAACCACAATTAGTTGTATATATTTATGTGTTTGTTATGCTATTTGACTCTTAGCACTCTTAGCAGTCGAAAATAAACAAATAGGCTAAAATAAATAAAGTCAGTTAGTTTAAGTTTTCTTTTTGTCTGGATCATAGTCCTTTTCCAGGCCGATGCCAGCTTTATGTAAAACTAATAGTTGATGGCCCGTCCTTTCCTGAAACTACTTTGTTCACATTCTCCAACCCATACATGCCCTTTTAATTGTGTTCTCTTGCAGATGCAGCAGCCACATGTTTTAAAAGAGAATCCATCCATTAATACTTTGAAAGAAAATGTGTGCTTTTTAATACTCTACAAACCTGTTGGTTTATTTTTTAAGATTTGTTTTTCTACATGTTACATGCTGAAGATATCTCAG